CATGTTTGTACCAGTTCTCGTGTGGTTTTTATACTGTGATGTTCCACAAATGGTTGTGCAGTAATTGTCTATTATAATAAATTGTATTGACTCATTAGGTGAATGAATTGGAACAAAGGCTTGAAGTCCCTATGTGTATTAAAATTCCTTATTTTTGTGCCATCCAGTGGTACTTTCAAGAGTGACAAAGCAATGGCACGCTGAGAAATCGAGCTAAAAGCATCACATAGACCGCACCAATTTATACCTGTATTTTTCTGCAAAAGCAAACTTATGCAATCACAATAATTTGAATGCTATGATGATACAAAAAACTGCCAAAGTTTTAGTTTAAGGTCTATAGTTCATACAGTGTGCTACATTTTAGATGACTAACCATATTTCTATGAATGAGCAAGTCATATCCCACAGCAAATGAAGAGTTTGGAGTATGTAAAACAGTAAAAATGCCAAAGGTTTAATATCACAGAGCATACTGGGATTATTTATCTTTACACCTTTTTAATGTTTACTCTTGTGTGTGCATTACTCCGTGTAGGTAATGATGTGGGGAGGGGTTCCTATGGTGCCATGCATGTCAAGCAGGTGCTTGACTACGCCTACACTGTCCTGAATCATGCCGTGTCACCGCTTGCGCAGTCGTATCCCAACAAAGACTCTGAAAGGTTAGTATTCAATCCATTCCACGGTACTGAAGATGCCCAGGATTAAAACGGTGCTGTTTTAAAACCCCTCTCTCTTCCCTGCAGCACCTTGGGTAGGATAATCAGGTTGACCCAAGAAGTGATCGACTACAGGGAATGGATCATTAAGAAGTGGGGGGGCAGGGATCTGGCTCGAACAGACAACAGAGGTACGATTCCTCCAAATCGAATTCTGCATTAATGAAGAAAAACTGCTTGTGCTTTCTGTGATAATATGTTGAAACCATGAACATATGAGAAGTACAGATAGAACAGAAAGTAAATGATTTTTAAGCTGTTTAATAGTCTAAATGATAAAATCGACTGAGCATTTAGAATTTTTCAATTACTGAACATTTGCTTTGACTTTTGTAGTTTCACCTCCCAGGGAGCTGGTGTCTGAGCAGGAGCCCTGTGTGCTCGGTGGCGGGTCAGAGGAGCAGCAAAGGGACTCTGTGTCGCCCCACAGCGCAGACTCCCCCATGTCAATCTCCAGCCCCCAGCAGCACTCTTCAGCCTCCTCTGTCTCCTCACTGTCTGGATCTGACAACGTAAGAAAACGCACACCTGCGGGATAAGCAGATAGGCGCTAGAGCACTTGATGTGGTTTATTTCATTTTTGTAAGTACGTTTTTACTATGGCGAATAGAAACTTGTGTTTGTCAGGTAAATTTTGACAAAGTGAAGAGTCAGTTAACATAAAAGCTTCTCTCTTGACCTCCTGTTTACATCCATAATGCAGTCTGCAGACAGCATGAAATGCAGCACTGCTATGAAACACTCATGGCAAACTACTAAATTGCTGCAGACACAACTGCAGTTTCTTGTGATTATGCTGGGTGTCAACTGCATAATGGAGTAATCCTGCCACCCACCTGATACAACTACACGCAGCATAACCTATTTTATACTCTCGAATCCATCTGAAAAGAGCACCCAATTTGCATCTCATTTTATTGTAGCATTTCGATGGAAACGTGCAGGAGCTACAGCTGACACACTCAAACTTGCTCATTATCGCTTCCTTTTATGTGTATTTTTTCCAGGACTCTGATTCAACACTGCCGTGTCCCGTCCCTCCGCCAGCCCTGCCGCCATACCCGTCTTTTCCTCCTCTGGGCCTAGCTCTACCACCAGGCCTCAACATGGGCACCGGCAAGCCCGGCATGGGAGGACACCATCTCCTCTTGCCCCCAGGCTCACAGGTAATGGCAGCAATGGCTACAGGCACCACGGGTTTACATTTGCTTGGATTGTGAATAGAAATTAGGAACAAGATAAATGATGTAGTGGGTAACATTTGGAATTACAGCAGAAAATGAAACATAAAAATCAGGGTTGTGTAATGTTAAGAGAACGATGTATAAAATTTCAGACTAAGGGTGTTTTGTAACCGGACATTTAGAGCATTTGATACAAACATGAACAGCCATATGTTGTTGCCCTTCCCCCTAATTAATTATTATCCCTTCCGTCCTCCAGGCTCGTGTCTCACTGCCCGGTGGTCTAGCAATGCACTCCATACCTGGCAGACAGGTGTGTATAGACACCGGGCTCCCCCCCTTCTTCCACATGCCCCCCCCAGCCCATGCTCATGCCCCTGCCCCCTCCAGCCCCCAGCCTCCGCTCAGCCCCCACTCCAGCCACACACACAAGGTAGGCGCCGGATGACACAAACACTCACTGTCAAGGCAAACTTGTCTCTCTCTCTCTCTCACTCACACACACACACACACACACACACACACACACACACACACACACACAATATCCATCTCACATTTTCAGTTTGTCCTTATCTGATTTGCCTCTCACACACACTCAGTTTTTCTCTTTAGACTAGTCCTTTAGGTTACATAAAAAATGAAATTGCCATCTATAGTCCATAACCGCCTGATGTTTGTACATCTGGTGTGTACCTGTTGCTATAGGAAATGACATAAACGGGGACATGATCCATAAGACTTTGGAAAATGCTCTTATTCACTTTCCTGCCAGGAGCTGGATAAGAAAATTGATACCACTTTTTTATCTGTACGTTTAATTATGACGCTAAAGCCAGCAGGCAATTAGGTAAGCTAAGCATACACACTGAGAAAGCAGGGGTAATATCTAGTCAAATGAGTTAATGTGTTGGTGAGCTTTGGAGTTGCTGGTAAAAGATTTATTTTTTTTAAACCATTGGAGTGAGCCAGGCAAGCTGTTTCTAGCATAAGCTAACTGCCTGCTTGCTATAGCTTCATATTGAGCATTCAGACATGAGTGGTATCAATTTTCTTATCTAACTCTTAGTAAATGTAATTTATGTAAATATTTATATAATATGTCTTTATGTCCTCACAGCAGTATTACACCAGTGATGTGCACTTGCATGGACTTGATTGGTTAATGCAGTCTGTTGCCAAATGACATAACAAGTCAGGTCCTTTTTTTACGGGAAGACATTTGTTGACAGGGTTTGGTTGTTGTCAAGACAGAATAATGCAGAGAATGTCTAGAAGTCAGTCTACAGGGTTAAATATTCTGTCATGTAAAATAGAATAAATTGCATGATCAGTAAAGAAGTTTTATATATGTGTGTTTTTGTGTCTTCTCTCCACCCCTGCTCAGAACGGAGCCAAGTTCAACGTGAAGGGCTTCCACAACCCACCGCTGGTCAACAACCCTGTTCTGGCTAACCGCGGACACACACACGCTCACTCGCACACACAGTATCACCGCAACACTTGGCGGCGCAGAAAGAGGGACAGCCTCCCGGTTAGCCTCAGCAGATAGAAACCACTCCCCTTCCCCCACTTTTCATCCTACCCCTCTCTGGCTGCAAGACCCTGGCTCTTCATTCGTCTCAAAGGAGGATGGACGGGCAGACAGAGGACCAGAGACCAGCAGTTTTCACTTTGGAGCTGTCGAGACAAGGAACAGCAGCCCACAGCTCTGCATCTTCCTCCTACTATCTCTACCTTTCCATTTCTGCATGACCTTTGTTCACAGTTTGGTAGTGTCAGTATTATGCTTTTCAGTATTTTGTTTTCCTCATCTTTGTTTCAGGTCTCTTTGTTTAGTTTTTGTTGGACTTGGCAGTGATGCCATTACCAAGTTAACTTGACCTCGTCTTGACCCTTGCAGCCGAGCTGCCTGTGGTTCAGTGTTTTGTTTTTTTTTTTGTTTTTTTTGTTTTTTTTTTAATACAGTTTATACATGTAAGAACAAAGGGTTTTTCATTTTGTGCAATAATGTTATTTTTCTTTTTGGAGCTAAAGTGAATGCTTATTTAATTTTGTGTGTGTATATGTAAAGGCATTTTTATACTGTTTTATTTTTGTAGAATTTTAAATTTTGTTTACGAAGCCTTTCCCCAGGCAGCATCTCTGGTGTGTGTGTGTGTGTGTGTGTGTGTGTGTGTGTGTGTGTGTGTGTGTGTGTGTGTGTCGTCAGGTTGAGAAGGACCCCAGTTCAAAGCCCCCCCCCCCCACCCCTTTTCCTCTTCTCTCCCTTTACTTGTCTTGTTCTGTTTGATGAAGAGAAGCAGGATCAGAAAGGGATACGGAGCTTGATATTCTTTCCATTTTCCTTAATGTCTTGTGAAAATAGGCGAGGTTAACATGAAATTTCTCATGGAAGTTTTGTTCCTCGGCCCAATTAGTCTGAGGCATCCGGGAGGGAAATGGAGGGATGAAATTTGCAACCTGGGATATCGTGAGAAATGAGGGGAAAGGATGTACCTCTGTTTTGGCCTAAAAGACGCAGCTCCTGAGCAGATAGGGCTTTAGCAGTGCCACCTCGAGATTGTGTGTATGTGTATATTTCAGTATGTGTGTGTCCCTTATGGGACTGTGCTGTTGCCATATTCTGTCGGTCAGGGGAAGGCTGGCAGTGGCCTGCTACTTTTGTCCTGGCTATCTTTCTCTCCACTGGAGGCAATTTTAAAAGAAACGCTTCCAGAAAGTGCAGGATTTGGGCCTGAAAGAGCCTGTTCTGTTAAACATATATGCTAGTGTCTTTTCATTTGTGCTCGTCTCTTTTTATTACATGTTGTAGGATGGTTGCGGCCAAGAAGGCAGCCACTTATCTGACTTGAATTTGAAGATCAAGATTAGTGTAAGGGGGCAGACAGCCACTTATTCCTGGTCAGAGAAATCCTCTTACACTCCAGTTGAGGGCTGTGGTTGTGGAAATGCGATCCCAGGGCTGAGGTAAACTCTTGCCCGCAGCTGTAAATCAGTGCAGACCAACACTACGATGCTCAGCGATAAGGTTTTCTCCTTTGTGTTCCTGGGCATAGGAGATCTGGGTGGGGTGGGGTGGTGGTGCTTCCTGAACCAAGAACCCTAGTGAAAGGGAATTATATTTTGATTCCGTTCAGGAATCTTGTGTATAAGTGATTGCCAGGTACTTCCGCTAATTGTTTGCAATGCCTTTCTTTGTGTTTACTTGGACTATGTGTACGTCGTTTTCTGTGAGCACACCGTGTCACACAAATACACACACTCACAGGACAGAAGTGTCGAAGGCTGTGACTCGCCCAGAACACTACACACGCTGGTGTTATTACTATGCAAGTGGATTATTATAATTATTGTGTCAACACTCTTGTCTTTTCATTTGGGTTTTGTTTCTTCTCCAAAATGACAAACACTGCTTGTTGGACTGGAGTAATGTTACTGTCCGTCAGGCTCGCCAGCCAACTCATGTGAACTACAAGCCTGACCCCTTTGTATTTGTATGGAGGTCCTGACATGTTTCAAAGTCTAGTTTTCTACATGTATCCGTCAAATGTAAGGAATGGGGGATGTTAATGTCAGTGGTCGGGTCTGGGTCTGTGTAGTGTGTGACATAGTGAAACGTGTGTGAGAACGTATCGAGACTCATGACTTGTCACCACAGGTTGTAAGCAGACGCCCGACAGAACAGGTGCACCCAGAGAGCGACTTGCACTCTGCAGGTGCACCTCAGAAGGGGCCAAAGTGTCCACCAACAATTGTTTACCTTTCACTGAGACTCTGCTCAGTGCTGTTACACTATTTGTTTTCTTTTTCTGTAAACCATGGCAACTCTGACCCCTCAGTCAAAACTGCACCTGGCATCAATTCAATCTCAGATGAAGGGTTTCTGTTTTGGCCGATGGCTCGCAGGCAAAGCAGATTATCAGCTAATCATCACCTCCAGCTAGAGAAATTCCTTTTCACGTTTAATGATTTGACCAAAAAAATCTTTTTTTTAATTGGACACAGACTGCTGGAGTTTCCGGAGATGTGCCCAGCCATACTATCACCTTTCACCCTCTTATTCTCTACGGAACATTATTTCCATCTGTAGGGAGGTGATCACGTTGGTGCATGAAATGCTCAGTCACATGCAATCCTTGCCCGGTATATAAATTGGAAAACAAGCGTGGATATAGTTGGCAAGCCCTTTTAACCCTTTCAAACTGCACCCCTGACAGCCATGTCTGCTTTTAGAGATTAGAACCAGCATTGATGAGAGGCTGAAAATTAAATCGGTCATGGGAGGTTGTTGACTGGTTAGAGTTGCCTGCGTCTCCACAGCAAAGACCTGACATGCAGGATCCTTGGAAGTCTGTATGGATCAAAATCTCTGTGCATCTCAGCGGTCCAACCCTCTCCGTGATCACTTTTCCCTCGTTACTTTCTCTCAGTCCGCTGGTAGCGGAAAGAGTTAAAGTTCTCGGTTGTTCTCTGCCACATTGCCTTCACTTCTTGTTGGTGTAAGTGACGGGGAAAGGGAAGCGACAGAGCGGCTAGGACTGCTGAGATTTTGCAGTACACATGTACATGTAAATGCAATGTAATATTACCCCTATTGCAAAACAATGAGGGATTTTAAACTGGTGGCTGCTGTTTAGAGAAAGGCGGCAGCCCCTTGATGTCCTGGCTGATTCATGAGAGCAGTGGCCCTCTAAATGGACACCTAGCTTTCGGTGGCCAGAGGGGAACCACTGCCCAGCTTCTGTGAGGGGGGGGGGGGGGGTATTTTTTTTTTTGTTGACATTTTTATGTAAATATATTTTTTTCTATTTTATTTTTTAATAAACATTTTAAAACTGCCAGTCAATGTGTGCTTTTTGTAAGTGACCGTGAGGTATGATATTTAAAGCTCCATTAAACCTTCATTGCGGAAATTTAGTCTCCCCTTCTGGCAATGAGAGAAATTACACAAACACTGTCGACAACTGGTTATGGTGCCTACAGGTGAGCTCGCCACAGGCTCCTGTTCAGAAATTGTAAAAAAAATAAATATAGATTTCCAAGACAATGCATTATTTAGGTAGAGTTGCATGTAATAGCTACATAGCTTACTACAAATACATACAAATACATTACTAACCTGTCCAAGAGCAGTAACACGAAATGGGGCTGCCCTCAGTTTTCTCCTTCAGTGCTCTCCAACGAAGAAAAGCTACACAAATCATTATCCGTGTTTGTCTGATTTTTTTTTTTTTAAATCTGGAATCAGAAACTTTATTTGGAGGCTTCTCCGCAGTACTCCTAGTTGTTGTAGCCTTCTTCATTTCTACGGTTGCTCCAGAGACGAGTACAGAGTCGCGTCATGTGTTCATTTACAAATGGCTTTATTGGCATGACTGCATGCTATACAATGCTACCAAAGTATATTAAAACAAACTATACAATTATAATAGTTATTAATAATAAACGTTCTCTCCAATGGACTTTTTTTATAATTACAGCAAAGGCTAATCATGGAGCTTTCTACATGGTTTGGACTTCTCACCCCTTCGGCTCTAGCAAACCATGTCCTGGTTGACATAAATCGCACCATTACCTGTGTGCCAGATTAAAAAAACTCCAGAATACAGAGTGATTTACCTGGCGGTGATGGGCTTAATCAGCATTGCGTGAAATGGTTTGGCAGGGGCTAGAATGTAACAGATGTTCAAAATCAGAATCAAAAGTACTTCATTGATCCCAGAGGGATCATCAAATTGTTGAATTATTAATTGTCCCTTATTATATGTAGGCTAAAAGTCCTGCACTCACACGGCCTTATTACCTTTTTGGCCTCTTGATGGCAGCACAACAAGCTCAACACAACATTCTCACATTATCATGGTATAAAGTTGTAATACAGTGAAAATATCTACACTTTCAGCAGACACAGAGAGCCACATCAAACCGTTATCAAGAGATGTTTTGATCAGATATGTATCACTGTCCAGATGTGCAATGACCGGCCACTGTGTCTATAAAAGAAAGGTTTGTTTAATACAAAAGGAATCTTCAGTTGCTGGTCTGGTCTATAAAACCAAAACAGTAAGCTGAAAGATTAAACTACCCTGTAGGGCTGAGGGAAAACTGCAGATTTTCTGTGGGTTTGTTAGCCTACTGTGGCCCCTTTTACATTACCCAAAGTCATTTGACCCATTGTTCATATAAAAATATTGATTGGTGCAGCTTTAACTGGTCTGGAGTTTCGGTATCTGTACTTTACTTGAGTATTTTTAGTTGTTTCACAACTTTTTACTTTCACTTCCCTACATTTCAAAGCCAAATATCCGGCTTTTTACTCCATTACATTCTGAACTAGACCTCGTAACATTGATATTAGTCGCCCATGCAGCGCACCTGAGTGGAGCAGCATTGAAAAACAAATGCAAAACTCATAAAGCCGACTCATACAACTCTTTATTAAGTTTGATAAACACAGACGGACCACGGTGTTTATAAACTGTAGCTCGGAAAGATGCCCGCGGTGCGTGCACGAAATTAAACTCACGCCTTTGATCAAGAAACATCTGTGGGACCAGTCCTGACAGGATGTGAAGGCACTCCTCATACATCATTTTAAAACAAGACTGTAAAGTTTAGTTACAACTCAACAAGCCAGTTTGAATGGGCCTGATTCAGCTGAACATTAATATATAAAAAATATCTGTAATTACAGGGGCTATGCTTCAGTAGAGTAGATATAGGATCATCAGCCAGAACAAGCACAGCTGATCCACATCCAGCCTCAGCCGGTACCAGCACAGACCCAGTCCAGATGTCTTTGGAAATCACACAGACCCAGGTGAAACACGTCCAGCCTCAGCCAGTACAAGCACAGCCAGAGAGATGTATAGCCAGCATCAGATCCAAGCAGCTCAGACCCTAATGGAACAGTTGCTTCTCCACCAAATAACTCAGCAGATTGGCCCAAAGTCTATCAGACTTCATGATGTCTGAGTTAGTGCGCAGAGGTCTGTTCAAACCAGCACTTGATGTTTTCTAGAAGAGGTTTCTATTCAGGCTCCTTACAGAGGGAGGACTGTAGTGAGTATCGTGGTGTCAGATGTGACGGCTCTGTTTTTGCACTGTGAGTCCCAGCCAGTTTGTGACCGAGTAGTAACGTAGCTGGTAGAGTTTTGGAATATAAACATCTGAAAACTGAAGCCAACCTTGCTCTGTTTGGGACTGTGAGCTGCACTTTATGAGAGTTGCTGAAGTTAACATGTGTGGATTTTTGGTGAGATTGTGAATTGAAAAGTGTTTCAGTTAGTTTTGGTTCCTGCCTCCTTGTCTCATCTTAACATACCCAAAGTCCCACGCAGACTTATCCTCCCCCACATATGGGAAATATCCACTTGTCCTCATGCGACTCACTTTTCCTTATTGTGATTCCCTATAACTTATAATGCTGTATTCAAATCTGTCTTGAGTGAAATTTAAAATATGGATTGTGTAGTACTTTTGCTTTTGATTACTTTTTTACTTTTACTAGAGTAGGTTTATACTGGATGACAGATGAAGTAACATTTTTCATGTGGTATCTGTACTTTTACTTAAGTATGAAAATGTCTTCAACCACTGCCCGGGATTTATGGTTAAGTTCCCACTGTATCTAGGTGTCTACTGTATGTGACTCTGGTTTTTCTTCAGTCAACATGTGATTCTTCTCATCAACACTGGGTGGTGCACACGTACTGCTGTTGGTGTTGAATTAGGAGAACCGCTGAAACACAAGGCCGCCCTACCTTGCTGAGCTCCCTGTTGTCTTCAGTACGCTTAAACCCTTAATTCAACATAGAATCGTCAACAAACCTGACATTCAGTCACACAGGGTCTTCAGTGGTTGTCTGGTGTTTGTATGTGTCTGGATTTGTTCAGGATTAGTTATAGTGTCTGTGCTGGCAGCTGCGGGGCTTCTCATTATAGAAAATAATCAGTCCAGCCAACTCTAAAGCACCTGCCAGGGCATCTTCATGACAATCCTAATCTGTTTGTCTTAACCTTGCTGACATAACCTCTGAACATTAATAAAACTGATCTACAGAGGAAGCATGAGAGGATTAGACCCAAAGCTTTGGTTGAACGAGGTGAAATGGGCCAAAAAAAAAAGATTTCATTTGTAAAGTAGCTACCTGTTCAAAGGTGAGACATATGGATTAGCATTCAGCAGGCGAGGTTGAACAACACAGACAAGGATGACAGGAAAAAGATGAAGAGACAAGAATCAAAGGTTTCTCGGAGTGAGTCAGTGCTCTAAGGGTGCCAAAATCCAATAAGAAAGTTAAAAAGAGACGACTAAGGAGTGCATCTCTGTAATACTGTCAACATGTATTGAACCTGCCTCTTCTGCTAGGAAAAGTGCTGTATGTTCACTGCAAACCAACAGAAGACCATCCATGATAACTAAGTTGGAGTGGATTCTGTTCAATAAACAGATGGCTGGCTTTACTATGTCTGAGGAGTGTCAGCCGTTCAACCAGATGACCCGGCCCGGCCGTCTCTTCTCAGCCAGAGCTGAGTTAAACCACTTTGAGTGGAAAAGCTTGATGCACGGCTGGATAAACAAGTCGCTCACAAGTCAGTGATAAGCTGCATCCACACTTGGTTTGATTCTTCCAAAGGCAGAGCAGAGAGAGTAACAGGCAGATGAGACTGCTCCTGCCTGACCATGATGCTGCATTCAGTCACCTGAAATTCACAGCTTGTATATGTCAGTGAGCTGCGAGGAATTTAAAGCTGCTCGTATTCTGATTTTTATATTATTATTATTTTATATTAACAATGGATTAAATTGTGTGTAATGTGAAAGGTGCCAGTTGCAGCAACAACCCCAGAATCATCACAAGATTCTGCAGTTTCTCTCAGTCTTACAGAGCATTTCAGCGGGTTTGAACTGATTTTATGGCCCGCAACTTTACTGGTTCACTCTCACTACTCTCATCAGCAGCCTTTTCATTTTCTACTGCTGCTCCTACCTGCTCTGCACCGAACAGCAGACAGGCAAAGTTAGCAACTAGCGGGAGAACACAGAGGAGCATTTAGCAGATAAAAATATATTTCTGTAAAACTAAAAGGAGAGTGAATATCCGGAGGATGAGAAATTCAACTCCAAATGAATGCTAATGTTGCACCCTGTCTGCTCAATGGGTAAATAAGCCACTCTCTGCTACCAAATTCACCATGTTAACTTAAAAATGATGAAGAAGAAATTTAAAGAAGGACAGATTAACAAATGTTGCATAGATATGACATAAATACCATACAACCTTCTTTACTTTCTAACTTTATCTTGTGACCCTTCAGGAGGATCTGACGCACAGGTTGGGAAGCCATGCTTAAATGTAAACAGAATTAGCTAAGGTTATCATAATATGTACCACAGATAATGAATGACTGTGAGTGGTAATGAGTTAAATGCTGTCTGAAAGTGTTTTTATGTAAATGTTCACCCTGAGACCACTGCTTACAAAGCACTTTATTAAAGGTTGTATATAGAGTGCTAGTGCAGAGAGAGACCACCGTAGTACTTAATCATGTTGTGAAGCTTCAGTATTTATAAAGGACTGGGGGGCTTCAAACTCAAAGACCAACTTCTCAAGATTTAGTGCTGCAGGAAACAGAGCCAAACTGCATTTTAACAATCCCAGTAAAAATCCTCTGAACAATAGCAATCAAAGGCAATTAAAAGCCTGATTAGTTTAGCATTTTGTCAATTCCCAGACATGTTGTTTATCTCTCAAATAAGGCAT